ATGCCTATTTAATTTTTTTTAAACAGAGTCTTACTCTGTTTTGGTGGGCCCGGGCTGGATTTGAACCCGCCACCTTAGGTGTATGTGGCTGGCGCCTTAGCCACTTGAGCCACAGGCGCTGAGCCCTATTTTACTTTTTCAACAAAAATGAAGTTAATATGCTAGCCCCTTTCCAACCTATTGAAAGATATTTGTTCTCAACCGTAAAATTATGTATTTTATGCATCTTCAAAGAATTATATTATACAGTTGGAAGAAATGTGGTAGTGTGCATAATCAAATAAAATAAAGGGGTGAGTGAGCTGCAAAATTGTCATGACACTTTACAACCAGTTGTGTGATAAATATTTGAGTAGCCTCCCTAGTTTCATTCACACATCCATCAATCAAGTATCAGATATGTTTTGTGAGATACACATGAATTTTGTCTTTCCTTGACTGGTTTGTTGCACAAACTAAGCAAAGTGTTCTGCACATGTTTCCTGTTAAGCATCGATGGCCCTCTTTAAAGTGGAAAATGGGCGGGGCACAGTGGCTCACACCTGTAATCCTAGCACTATGGGAAGCCAAAGTGGGTGGATTGCTTGAGCTCAGAAGTTTGAGACCAGTATGAGACAGAGGGAGAGCTTATCTCTAAAAATAGCTGGGCATTATGGCAGGCTATCATAGTTCCAGCTACTCAGGAGGCTGAGGCAAGAGAATCACTTGAGCCCAAGAGTTTGAGGTTGCTGTGAGCTATGACACCATGGCACTCTACCAAGGGTCACAAAGTGAACCAACTCTGTCATAAATATATGAACAAAAAAACCGGGAAATGCTGGGCTTGTGTCAGCCATCCAGCTTGATCTGGGCTTGAGTGGTGAAATGGGTGCTGGGATTAAAGGTAGATCTAAGTTTGGGTGGGTGGATGTGGATGTGAGGGGCTTGACTTTTTCCAAAGAACTATGTCTGTTTTTTTATTTTCCTAATGTGTACCCCATCTTCTTCAAATTTCTGTGGGTTTTTTTTTTTTTGAGACAGGATCTTGCTCTGCCACCAAAGGTAAATTAGAGTGCAAGTGGTTTCATCATAGCTCACTGAAACTTCAAATTCCTGGGCTGAAGAACTCCTCCAGCCTCAGCCTCCGAAAGTGCTGGGATTACAGGTATAAGCCACTACACCCTGCGAAACTGCCATTCTACTCTTTTTTTTTCTTCAATTTTTTTTGAGCCATTCTATTCTTTAATCCTACAATTTCCCCTCAGTGACTCCATTCTGCAGATTCAGAGAACTCACCATTGATTTTCCTAGAACTCTAATACCTCACACTTTTAAATTCCTACTCTCCCTTCTTTGGATCTCAGTTCATTTCTTAAACACATTGGTATAATATCTGAGTATTCATCAAATACAGGATGAGTGGCAGAAGTCTGGTGAAGGGAAACACTCCCTGATATTCTGACTTCTGGGATACGGACTATCATTTCTTGTCTTCTGTACATAAAAATGAAGATAGTAATACTCATTCAGATGTACAGATCTCACCCTAAGCCCTACATTAATAAAATAGTGACTAAGAACTCAACATCTTTTTTTTTTTCTCCTATGAAGTAAAGTCCTCAAAGCCAAGGAGAGGAGGCTTAGGAATGATATTTAGGTGTTTCCAACGCTAGTTATATATTGTAGTTTTCAGGGTTCCTGTTGATATTCTTTTATTAACATTTTTTCCAACGTTTTTCCTTTTGGTAATATTATACTACAATTGTTTCCTTAATTTCATTTTTGGATTGTTAATATTTATGTACAAAAATGTGACTATTTTATTAAATCATAGCTGTGTACATTAATGCAATCATGGGTACAAGGTGCTAGTTTTATATACAATTTGAAATATTTTCATCAGACTGGTTAACATAGCCTTCACTGCATTTTCTTATTGTGTTCAGACATTTATACTCTACACTTAGTAAATTTAACATGTACCCTTGTAAAAAGCACTGTAGGAGTGGTTCCAATTACCCTCCCTCCACCCATCCTCCCT